AACATTCAGTATGAAACTGAAACAAACATTACTATTCCTTGAGAATATATTAATTCTATTGGTCAAAAAAAGGAAAATACACCAATCATTCTGAATAATCATAAAGCTTTTCCTTTTTCTTTGTTAGCACTGCTATCAAACTTACTGTCAGTATCATCAACCATCCTTTCTCTTTTTTCTAAAAGTAACATCTTTCCACCTCTGTGTTCAGGCTTTTGCTTGGGCATGGAGCCTGCCATGAGGTCATCCCTCCCCATGTACGCTGGCCTCAGTAATATGTGGGGGAAGGTGAGCGACCCGGTCTCATAGGTGTTGACCCACCCTCCATAATCATCACAACCAATCATCACCATCACAACAAGCGCCGCCGCATGGTGAGGGCCACCCGTGCCTCTGTCCATCGAGTCGGGGGGGACGGCGACGCAAGGGGAACTGGGACCCGCTCACGCACAAAAGAAATCAAGAGTACCCGGAGCACGTGCCAGTGGCGGTGGTTTGAGGAGCGGCAAAGGGCCTCAACCTATCCCTCGCCAGGAGGAGCGTTTACAAGAGAAGAGTGTGGTCTGACGGGGATTTCTTTTGTGGTGTTGGTACACTGTTCTTACTATTCTTATTCTTTTTGCTTCTTTTTTTTCTTTTCTGTTTTTTTTGCTCATGCCTGAAGAGTGTGAGATACAGGGGGATATAGGATAAGGAATAAAGGCTGCACACAGGCATGGATAACAGGTTAAGGAGGAATAAGAGGATCCTATAAACTTTTACCTTCTTATGGTCAAGTCTACTGTTAGATGACAAAAGAAGACATCTATACAGATAATCTGTCACTTTGTATTTCATGTAAATGCAATATAATATTCACTTTTTCTTCTTGGCTTTGCATAAAGTAATAATTAACTTATTGTCATCATAAGACCATAATTTTGCATCTTTACTAACATGTCCACACAAGTGTAATTTCACTTTGATCATGTTCATACATTTGTCACATACATATACCTTCCAAATATGTTATCATTATTGTTTTAATCTGAAATCCTGTTCATGTGTTCTATGTTTGGAATGTTTGAAGTCTGAGAGTAGAAAATAGATTTGAGAGTTATTTCAGAGCTTGGAGAATATAAAATAAACATCAATAAAAATATTCACTGACACAAGTATTTTTGTTTTCTTCTTTCAATTAATAAAATACAGGAAAAACAGAGAGAGAAGGGGCAAAATTCTGCTCCAGTTTAAGTAACAGTTTATTGGAGAATGCTGGGAGAGATGACTAGTCTGCCAGAGAGAAGGGGGAGGAGAGTAGGATACCACACTACCATGCACACTCTCAAGATGCTTAAAATGACGCGCAGTAAGTTTCAAATAAGTAGTAACTTGGAATGGTGACAGCACTCCACAGCTGAGGGAGATCATACAAGACTTAAGCAAACATTTTGGTAATCAAAGGAAAAAATAGAGATGCTTAACTTGAATGGCTTTCCTGAGATATTTTTCCTGCTATACATACTATCATCAATCTTATTATTAACCTTATATCAATTACATCTAAAAGGAAAATCATGGATGTAAATATTCCATGGTTCTCCTTTACTAGAAAAAAACAACTTTACACAACATTCCAAGTTGCTAGTGCATTAGGCAAGAGTGAAAAAAGATGATAAAAAAAAAGTGGTGAGATGCTTATCATGTTAAAGCACTTTTTTCCATTGGTAACCATGAGAATATTAGAAAAAATATGTTGCATTCTATATAAATAAATATATATATATATATGGAGCCCCAATATCAGTACCAAACCCCAAAAATGTGTCATGTATTTCTAGCATCTATGTAAACGAGAAAGATTGTTCTAGTCAAGTTACCATAAGAATCAATGTTCTATACTACATCGTTCTGTAACAAACCTTGTTGGAAATGGAACGTTAGGGGCTATTTGGCCTTGAGTTTGTTCTTGGCTATGGATAGAAGATAAGATATTGTCAGATGAGAACTTACAACCATTCCATCTAGTGCTCATATGATTAATAAAGAGAGAAAAATGAAAGTAATCAAGATAATATCATCATATACACATTTCATACTCATATCACTTGATTGGAAAAAAGAAGTAAAAATAATCAATATAATTTTCTCACATGTTCTTAATGCTATGTTCCTTAGTCCTAAAAGATTAAGCGCATTCTCATAAAGGCACCAAATATAGAGTATTATAGACAGCAACAACAGTATGAAAAGGTGAAAAAAAAGAAAAAAAATATTTATGAAAATTTCAGAAATAAAACAATCACTCATATATGACAAAAATGGCATCTCTTTAGCTAGCCTTGAAGATCCCCAGAAATGATGAGTAGTTTCTGACATACTTGAAATTTAAAAAATTATCTATAACTAAGAAACCAACTCTTACAATTTTACGCATATTAATACTTTGGACCAGGAGCCACGTACTTTTATCTACTGAGATATTTTGCTAATTATTTAAAGAAGTATGTGGATAAAAAATAAAACTTTATACTCCACTTTTAAGTAGCAAAGTGCTTGACACAACAAGATGATTTTTCACTGATTTCAACCTATGCATAACAAACATACTTATTACTTAATAATACCAACTTATGGATGTATAATGCTACAGTTACTAACATTTACAGTTACAGCTCTATAGTACACAATACTCCTGTGATGCTACTTATACCATATTTAAATGGCAAGATACAACTTATATATACTTTTTTTGTGGGGCCTCTACCTGGTGGCGCGTCCTGTTGGCCACGTACTGTATACAATGTACTGTACAACACTGCATTACAATTGTACATAACACCGTACACCTCCTGTCTACAGCCAATCAGTGCGCAATATAGCAAGGAGACACCTACAGTTATCATCAGAAATAGAGGTCATCAGAAGTAGTTTCTGACTCAACAATCATAATGATCACTTGGAAGGACAGTTGTACTTTAGAAATCAAGTACTTTTTATAGTTTAATTCAAGAAATCAAGAATTCATTTTTTACATTACAGAGTAGATTGAAGAGATGCTATGGATAAATGATTTGTATTCTAGTACTATCTTACATAGTACTTCATGATGTAGATCATATAAGTTGAAAATGATATAAGGAGGTTATTCATGTAATCCAGGGACATCTCTCATCCCTTGCTTAGGGACCGTCGTTAGAAAATTCTATATATTGTTTTTCTGAGAATTATTCCTTTGCAAATAATGTGTACTGGATAGCAATGTCATTATGCATTGTTTCACCATGACCACTTTGATGATATATAAAATTCAACTTGGAACATACTGAACTGGGAAATAAATGTGAGCAAGACCCAGAATATCTTTCCTGACTTGTGGTTGGATAGACATACAAGCAGCAATCACTCTAGGCAAAATACCATCATCAACACAGAGCACAATCACACTGAGTTGAGTGGATTTTCATCACATTATCATCATATATATTTCTTCCATCTGGAACAACTGCTACTCATATCTCCAACCAAACACACAAGTCTTCATCTCAAAAAGAAATTCTGAATCCTTCTCAAGGGAGTGAGGGAGGTTGGAGGACTGAGGTAGAGTGCGGGGCTGGAGAGCAAAGGAGCGGTGGTGGCTGGGGACTTCCAAATAGCACAGAGTAGCCAGACCAATCGTGTCCCCTCAGCCTAGGTTGCGGCGGTGTTGTTCTCTCTTATATCTTTTAGCCATTTGTTATCATTAATTCTATACCTATCTCTTTATTTTCTTTTTCAAGAACTTGGCAATGATGAAAAATGGAAAAAAGTCTGGGAAAATAAAGAACATAACTAAAGTGTTCATCCCAAGTCAATTATACTCATCAAAACAGTAGGAAAAACAATATTAGAGGATTGAATATATTCATCTCATACAATATATACTAAGAAGTTTATATACACACACACATATACATATATATACATACATACATACATATATATATATACACACACACACATATATATATATATATATATATATATATATATATATATATATATATATATATATATATATATATATATACATATAAATATATATATATATATATATATATATATATATATATATATATATATATATATATATATATATATATATATATATATATATATATATATATATGTATATATATATATATATATATATATATATATATATATATATATATATATATATATATATATATATATATATGTATATATATATATATATATATATATATATATATATATATATATATATATATACATATATACATATATACATATATACATATATACATATATACATATATACATATATACATATATACATTACATATACATATATATCTATATATCTATCTATATATATCTATATATATCTATATATCTATCTATATATATCTATATATCTATCTATATATCTCTATATCTATATATATATATATATATATATATATATATATATATATATATATATATATATATATATATATATATATATATATATATATATATATATATATATATATATATATATATATAACTAAAAGTTCAATTGTAAATCTGCTTCCTATGAGAACAAGGAACACAACCTTGGCTAAGGGGACTCCGAAAGGGTGTGGGTGACAAGTGTTTGTGTAACTAACCCTACTGTCACTGTCCCATCTTCGGCGGGGCTGTGGGGGGGCCACGCAGGGGGGGGAAAATGGCTCAATTAGCAGTCAAAACCCGCTAGTCTTTTATTATTTGCAAATGTATAAGACACACATACACTCATTTACATAAAAAATAAGAAAAAATAGACAATACAATCTTTCACATCTCTCTCTCTCTCTCTCTCTCTCTCTCTCTCTCTCTCTCTCTCTCTCTCTCTCTCTTTTTTTTTCTCTCTCTCTCTCTCTCTCTCTCTCTCTCTCTCTCTCTCTCTCTCTCTCTCTCTCTCTCTCTCTCTCTCTCTCTTTATTACTCTTTCTTTCTGGCTTTCAGTCTTC